TTTAAAATTGTAAACTATCTTTAAATTAGCTCACTTTGTTATCCAAATGCATAATGTTCGGGTAGTTTCAAACTCCACATTATGACACACTCCATAGGTTTTATGTTTAAATGGATAAATTTACTCAAATAGCATAAAAACATAATGACTTTCCCTAAATAGTACTACATGTGTTTTTCTTTCCGATATAGCACTTTTAGTCATTATGCATTAATCATTATTCAAGTAAATATTCATCATCACTGGTCATTATAGACATTATTAAGTGCTACTTAGGAGATAAAACAATTTAAGTGCTATTCAAAGAAATGACTTAAGTTTTAGTATTATTTAGTGCAAATATTTTAAATGATGCATGGTCAATTTTTAAGTTAACAATCAGAAAGATTACGAATTTAAAGTTTAAAATAACGATAGTGTGCAATATTGTTCAAAACGAGTATTATTAATATTATTAAAAATGGTTAATTTTGAAGTTTACATATAAATATGTATGGAGTATTTTTTTTCTCCTAATTGACGCTTTAAAGCGCACCTGCACTCGTATTTTTTAATGCTTTTGCACCCTCACAAGTCACACCCTCACTCAAACTTATTTTCGCTTTATGTGATATATGAGTTTGTTTTTTTGAATTTATTCTTATTACTTATAGACTATTACTTATTTTTATTGCAATCAGGTCAGATCAGATAAATGAGATTAGACCATATCAAAAACCAACTTTAAAAGTTATTTTTTTATAGTCCTAAGGTCATGTGAAATGTGGATATTTTCACACTTTTCATGAGTCTACCAGTGAATATTTTTCTTTTTTTATAAGATCAAATCCAATGTATGAGACCAAGGGAAGAGAGCAAAGTCTTTGAGAGCACATACTATGTACGAAATACAATAATAATCTTGTGCTTTAATTCAATTCTAATCGTCCCTATTCATGCCTCTGGGGTTGGCAGGCATGTTTATATGTTATTATTGTCCTTTGATTCTTTAATTTGTCACATCACCCCTTACATTAGTACCTCAATTGCCATTTACCACTAAATATTGAAAATTTTTATTTGTACCTCAACCGACTTTGCTCTTCAAGAATTTGCTCTAAGATGAAATGAAAGTGCAAAACTGGTATTGTTGCTCTTACACTTTGTGTCAGACCAACCCTTGAAATACAAAATTGGGTACAAAGTGGGGTAAATTTCAGTAACGGTAACCGAACTTTCACTGAAATTTCGAAATGCTACATGAACTTTAAATCATTTCACAGAAATACCTAAACTTACATAATCCTTTATTAAAAGTTCATTTACGCATTTCCAGGTTAACTTCCGGTCAATTGGGCTAAATTAGAATTTTATATATTTAAAATTTTCAATTTGAACTCATTTCTTTTCTTCTTCTTCTTCCCCCTCCCACTCCCTTCTTTTTCTTCTTCTTTCACCCCCTTCTTCTTCTTCTTCCTCACCCCACCATAATCCCAAACTATACTGAAACAAGTGGTACTCTCTCCGTCCTAAAATCATCTTTCCACTTTTTCATTTTCATTGTCCTAAAACTACCTTCCCACATCCTAAAAAAGGGTGTGAAATGACTATCTTACCCTTCCACTATCTTACCCTTCTCTCTCCCTCATCTCTTCGTCCCTCTCTCACTGGCCAGATATGTTTATTCTCTTTTTCTCTTCCTTCCCCGAGCCAACTCTTCCTCTCTTTTTCTCTTCTTCCCCGATCCGATCGTGGATCTAATTTTGCCGCCCAACTTCAATGGTCAGATTTGTTTCTTTGCTGGATTGATAGTGCCTAACTTTAATCGGTCAGATCTAATATTTGCCATCCAAGTTCTCCCCAATCTGATCGCAGATCTAATCTAGTCAGATTTGTTTAGCTGGCTCTGATCGTCACTATAGCTTATAGGAAGAGATTGTCGCCGGCATCACCATTCCAATCGCTGGTGCCACCACCGGCGTCACCAACCTCCATCGACCTCTCCCTGTGTTACTATGTGGAAATCAAAGAAAGAAGATTTGTTTCTTGAGATTTGATTTTTTTTGCAGACATTGAGATCTGATTTTAATTGAAGAAAAAGAAGAGCTTTGGTAATTTTTTTAACTTTTGAAGTGGTTGTTTTAATTTGGTTAAATTATGGCATGAATTGTGTCCGCCGACTCACTCAATCATGTCTGCCGGAATGGATTCCCGAATCTTCAATTTCAACGAGTCCATCTATTCCCCATAGCAGAATCCTAACCTGACCATAATAATCTCTTGGGAAGGAGGGGTATTTTTGGAAGTCAAAGCCATAATTATTCATTCCTTAAAAATGACCTTTAGTCAAAGTGGGAAGATCAATATAGGACGGAGGGAGTATTTTTAGTACTATTTACTATTTGGTGCAAAATTCACTTTTTTAGGTTTATTATTCTCTCTTGGTTGTTGATGGGTGTATTCCACCCAGAACCGGTCAAAGAAGGTGTTCAAATATTCAACCGGTTAAGGTTAATTTTTCGGGATGGAAGGCCTAAAACAACAGTAAAAGGGTATTCGATTGACCAGAAATTTGATCGGTACACTTCGATAGTCTACCGGTCAAAGTACTTTATTCCCGCATTCGTCCTCAATTTCACTAAACCCATCCCTTGGGAATCTACCCGGTATGATTTCCAGGGATGAAGAGTGTCAGCAAGGAAGAATCCAAATGAATTGGACTGTAGCGGCCAAATTCAACGAAGAATCATTGGGGATATTCAAGCAATCCGTCCAAAATACTACGTGACAAGAAAGTCACCTTCCTAACTAGATGACAAGGCCACTAGAAGACAGAGGCAATCAACTCGCACCACCCAAGAACGTGCCCTGACGTGGATGTGTGGCGTCTTGTCCTTCATTGATTACTATAAATACCAGTGTAACCCTCAAAGGAAGGTGTGTGATTTCTTTTCACCAAAACCCTTGTGTAAAAGCTCCCGTGCACTCTACTATATTCGAATAACAATTGGGCTACAGGTGTTTCCACCTACAGTCTTCCGGGTTACTTTGTGTATTTTACCTTTTTACTCTCTCAAATCTAGTAAACAATACTAGACCCGACCTAGTACTGTTTACCCGGTTAGGTAATTTACATCATGATTTGTCATTAAAAAAAATTGTGTTACAAACACCCCTTATTTTTTTGACACAGAATTTAATTATTAATTATATAAAATTTAAATTGCATCTTATTAAAATCTAATAACAATTAAATTTTCTTGTGAAAAAAACAAATAAAATCATTTAAATATTAATATACAATACAAATAAGAAATATAGAAACCCTCAGTAAAAAAAATACTCGGTTATATTTTACTCCCTCCGTTTTTTAAAAGTGTTCCTATTTTGACTTTGTGTAAAAATAAGGAAGTGTTAAATTGTAGTTGACTTCCAATTTTTCCCTTGATGTGATGGGTAAAAGTAAGATGTGATGGATTGAGTTTTAGAGAAAAAGTATGATGTGATAGGTAGGGTATGAAAAAGTAACGGTAAAAATGGTTTTTTAAAAGAAAGTGGAAGTGTTTTGTTGGAAGTAAAAAAAATGAAAAAGGGAGAGTTTTTGAAAACGAAGGGAGTATCTAAATAGGAGAGATGTTCTTTTATTTAATTAAATATGGGCATATAATTGCTGACTATGTCTTGGGTAAAATTCCTACTCCTATAGTCCTATGTCATACTCCCTCCGTCCCCCTGTATTTGTCCATATTTGACTTTTGAAACTGTTCATGTAAGCTCTTTGACTCATCAAATTCTCTCAATGTGTAAGTCTAAATATAGTCATGTGTGATCTTGTTTGATTTGTCTTAACATATAGATTATTAATATATAATTTCTATAATTTTTTAATATACAAATTACAAGATAAAATGGATTAAAGAAGTGCATTGGATGTTGTGTAAAAATGAAAGTGGACAAATATAGGGGGACGGAGGGAGTACAAAAAAACATTTTGACCCTTATTTCAATGTTTGAATTTCGCGTTACACCAATCTTGATAAGTTTGACTACATAGAAAAATTAAACTTAAAGAACACAAAAAAAAGAGAGAAATATATAGGAGTATAAAACACAGTATTACGTATACACTTTTCTCTTGAAATATAGTCATTCTGTCCAAATTTAATCTTCTTATTTTTCTTTTTTCTTTGTTTGGATTTAATTTTTCACATTTCTCATATGTAACTTTGGAAAAAAATACTCTCCATTAAAAATTTCCAACATATCTATTACTGCATTTTTAGTAAGGGTATTTTGAACAAATCTATCCCATAGTCAACATTCCCTAAAAATAAGGAAAAGTTTAAATAAGATTAAATCCAAAACATAGGAGTATATAATATATATTTTCAATTTTTGCATTATTTTTCTAATAAGCTGAAATAAAGATAACTCTAGGTAAAAAAATGATGAGAATACGTCAATTTAAAACAAGATAGGGTCTAAACATGATACTCCTAGGTTCGTGTTACTTTCCGTTTGAGTCGGTGAAAGTTCAAGATAGAGAATAGTTCAAGTGATTTCTTCTTATTTTGACTTGACACGAGCATGAAAGAGGTGACTTCATAAGGCTTCATGTGTTTCTTTGTTGGGATTTGCCAAGTACCAATAAGCATGGTGTACTTATATCAAGCCATTTGTACATATTCTATAGCTAATCCTCCATCCTTCTTTGTTGGGAGTTTGAACTCATACTTCTTTTGGAACAGTTATTTAATGATTTTGCTTCTTGAAGACAAAGTTTTGTGCAATTACTTTCTTCACCGTTATTTTTTTTTTAAAGTTAGACACTCATTTTGGCATCTCTATATTGGGATGAGCCAAGTTAGTCCATGTAGCTAGAAAACGTGAACCAAATTAGTCCATCTAACGAAAGTTTTCTTAGGTATATAAATATTGAGTTAGCACGTCAAATGATACAAGGGCAATGACCACGTGTATTAGTGTCTTGTGTCGATTAACATGTCAGCATTTCAATAAGACTATATAGATAAAATTCATTAGGCCTAACTTGATTCACATTTTGTAAATACATGTGAACTTCTCTGTGAGCAAGATGCATAGAGAGAAAGACTCGAGATGAAAACGATTAGTATGGATTCACGAAAGAACACACCAATTGCTCTTTGCACAAAAACACCATGAATGAGGTTCAAGAACAAGCAGTCAATAACATCAAAATGGAGAAATAAAACTTACTGTGGTCTGTGATGAGAATGACCATACGACGAAACAATGTACAAAAGAACGAGGCCATCCAACGTTTATACCCCCCTTCATTTCATATTAACTGATCATTATGACTTTCTTGATATATTAAAAAATGAACGAATGTAGTAATTGTCCTCCTGTTCTTTGTAATATGTTGTTTTCATTGACATTTGGTGGTGAAATATATTTGCTTTTGGTTCAAAAAAATGAACGAATGTAGACATAGAGATTGTCTACATTCATTCGTTTTTAATGTATCAAGACAATCATAATGGTCAATTAATATAGAAAAGAGGGAGTATATATGTGGCCCCACTCTACCTCGAAAACTCATTGGGAAGGGTGCACTCGTTCGATACCATCGATCTATGTCTGCTGAGGGAGGGAATGCTAAGAGACCGCTTTCTAATTCTCAAGCTGCCATTACAGGGGGCTCTCTTCTCATTCTTTACCCTGTGGAAAGAGTTGCAGCATAGTGATGGCTCCAAGAATGTCTCACTCTTGGTCCTGCAGAAACTACTTGTGTTCTCTTTCTCAGTTTCTCTACTGTCGTTTGATTCCTCGGGTATCTGGTCACCCGAGACCGGTACCACCTTGTCACTCAACACGAAGTTCTTAAATCTCTCGTCATTGTCGGGGATGTCGCCATTCTGTTGTACATCCAGCATTGCTAGATCATCATACTCCTCATCTGATTTTGTATACTCCTCATCCACAGACCCTTCCAACTGTGAAGGGCAATAAATATATAAATAAATAATGCACATAGCTGCCTAGTGAATGGTATCCTCATTATAATTTTTTGAATGCTATTGACTCTATTACAAGGTAGTATTTGTTCATACTATACTCAACTTAATGACGCACAAAGAGCCAATGTTTCTGCTTCCGATGGGGCTCAAACCTGGGTGAACTTTCTCATGAATCCTGGGGAGTGGCCTTGCTACCACTAAAGCCAGGGGAGAAGTTTGGTACTCATTATTGACAGTGTGTGTGTCCATTGTAAACAATTAATACTCCATCGTGACCACTAAAGAGTCCTCTCTACAAACTCTTTTTTGTCTAAAAGAAAGTCCAAATAATCTACTACTTTTCATCACAAATACTCTCTCCCACCCAAAACTGAAGTCCTAACCATTAAAAGTACTACTTCGTATACCCCTACTTTTTCAAACCACTCTTTTCTACTCAATACTCATCCCATTTATTTCCCACTTTCATTAAACACATTACACTATCTCAACCTATCATTTCAGTGTCACATCAGGAGCAAATTAGGAAGATCAAACACACTTTAAAATTTACCTTAATTTATGTGAAGTTCAAGTCAGACTTTAGCTATGGGACGGAAGGAGTGATTTTTTAAAAAAAAACAAGTGTTCCAAACAAGTTGAGTATGTTAAACCTGGCTAAAGAGACATATTTTTAAAAAAAACTATATAAAACTATTTGGTGATTCTCACTAGTTGTAATTTACAAAAATTGAAAGGTTGTGGTTGTTGTTGTGCATTTGTCAAACACATTTGTCAAGGAACAGGGAGAGTACCTCATTGGTTAGACAGAACAAGAAATTCTTTTTTTTCCTCGATATCAACTCCAACAAAATATCCATTTTAATTCATCAATTAACTCTTTTCCAGCCTCACAAAAATTATTACTCCGTACTACGTATTTTACGTTTCCCCTTTTTCTTTTCTCATTTTAAGCAATGAACAGATAAAAAATACTGGATATCCTGTTAATAAAAAATTGAAAAGCAAAAACTTGAATGTACCTCTTCATGAAAATGTTTTGAGCTGTCGTCACTTAAATCCTCATCACTTTCCATTTCAGGTGGCTCAGATAGTTCTTCATCACTACCATGTACAGATTGTTCTTCCTTCAGCTGTAAGAGGAAACTAGAATTTAAAACCAACGGACAGGAAAAATTCAGTGTGGAAAAAACAGATTAAATTTTTATGCAATAAAACAATATCAGGAGGTATAAAGCGAGTGTTGTTCTAAGTGCTCAGGTATCTTATTTATCAACTAAGGCAGCGTTCCGTTCAACCTATTTTTTCCGCTTATTACTTATTCATTCTTATTATAATCAGATCACATCAGACAAGATCAGAAACAACTTTAATTATGCCTGCAATCATATCAGACCAGATCTTCAAAATATCGCTCAGGCGAATGGAACGCAGCCTAAATCTTTTATCAAACACTTTCCTCCAACAACTGAATCAACTAATAATTTTTAAAAAAGAAGTGCTGGTTTTATTCTTTTTTGGCTAAAAGGAGGATAGATGTTTTTAACCTTCATCTTTTTTCATTTTCTTTTTTCGAATAATATACCCTTATCTTTTAATATTAACATCCTCCCATTTATGACACATAGGAAAGTGACATGCAAATTAAGAAAAATGTTTGTGGTTAATATTGATGTTAAAAAGTAAGAAAAAAAATAAGAATAGATGAGAGCCATACATATAGATAGTGGGATGGACAAGAAGAGATTAAACGGACAAACAATGGGACAGGTGGAGTATTACGTTTAACTTATTAAAAAACAATTCATAATACAGATTCAAATAATCCATCTCAATTGGTGAATTTGGCATTTCTAGCTACCAGGGGTGAGCAAGTACCGAACCGATACCGAAATTTCCCGAAAAAACCGAGAATACCGAACCGAAAAATACCGAACTGAAAAAGTACCGAGAAGAAACCGAACCATACCGAACCGAATGGTCGGTACGGTATTCGGGAACGGTACAAGGTGACCTCCCATACCGAAAATCCCGTACCGAACATATATACTAAAATATTATAAAAAATAATACCCGGGGTAATATTTTTATATTCCTTCACTAAATAATAATTTTTAAAAAAAAAATTTGGTTCAAGTTCTATGATGTGTAAATTATACTTTTATTTGAGTTTTAATTTTTATGTATGAACATAAAAGTATTCACAAAGATTCGAAATACTCCTTTGTTGTCATTCATTTTTTTAGTTTGTGAAATATAAACTAAGTTTTTGATACGCATCTCTTGCATTTAAATATTCCTTTTTTTAATTTTTCATATTTTTTTATTTAAATTTACTTTTAATTTTCAAAAATAAAGGGGTATTGTTAAATTTTAACGTGTAAACTAGGTATATATATTTATCCCGATTTGTACCGAACCATACCAAACCGATATTTCGGGATCGGGATCGGTACGGAGTAAAATCCCATACCGAACCGAAATATTTGGTACGGTATCGGTACGAGCTAAATACTGTACCACACCGTACCATGCTCACCTCTACTAGCTACAATTTCAATCAACTTTTTACCCCATAGAATAATGAAATGACTAGAGACTCTTTAGAAGAGGTTTGAAACTAGACGACCTGGACCACAAAAGCTAGTTAGCTATTAATTTACGAAAATTAGAAAAACTCACTTCCTTGGAATCCTTGGATATCCCTTCAAGAAATCTTGGAGAACTGCAGCAGGAAGAATAATACCTACTGCCATTGTCTGTGAAGTCTCCTTTTGATTCATCCACACTACTTGCATGACTTGTGCAACCAGTCTCACCGAGCCAAGCGCTGATCCCAAGATACCCAAACTGGAGATTCACAGGTTCGGCCTTCCCAATCTGCAGTGGTTCATACACAGACATCCCAACCCTGCTGTCCGTAATGGGTTTGCCACTGCTATCTATTGAATCCACTGGCCAAGTCTTCGCTACCGACCCATCATTATTGAAAAGAGCCATCAAATGCCTTGAAGAGCCTTTTCTTTGAATGAGCTGAAACATACCCTTAGAGCTCAAAGAATTAGCAGCAGACTGATTCCTGTATTCCTCATCAACAACAGGCACTGTGTTTGTCATGGGATCATAAAGCTTCTCTCCCGCACTGCGTCTCCGCAGGCAGCCAAACACAGTAGCATGAATGGATGCAACACTTCTGTCCACATTAGTGTTGTTAATCTTTGGAACTAGATGCTTGTCAGCTCTGTTGCAGAGATACTCTTGTATGGTCCTGATGTTGCGTATGTATTTGACATACTTGTTTTTAGCAGGATCTAGCGTCATGTATTTTGCACGGACGGCAAAACGTTCCAAATGCTTCTCTTCATTCGCAATAAACACCATGAAGGGTATGATTGATGGATGCTTTTTCATTAATCCCATCTGCAAGGTAAGAGACAATTTGAATCAAACACTTACCACAAGAGGAAAAATCTCACTGCTGAAAGAAATACTCCCTCCATCCCCCAAAAAGAGCTGTTTTGCATATGGTACAACTTTTTATTTCTAATAAACTCCTAGAGTCCTAGAACTTACTTCCAAGATTGCTTGGAGTAGTTGACTAAAATTGCTTGCTCCTTATAGCTATACTTTAAAATTTATTTGTTAGTTTTAACTACATCAGCCCTCCTCAATTTGCTTGGGACATTTTTATTTTTTAAAAAATGTTATATTTGATGCATATTAGCTCCTTGTGTTCAAATTGGATTTTGTTGGGAGCAAATTTAAGTTTAAAACCATAACTCTTTTTGTGGGAGTGAAGGAGTACATGTTTTCGCACAAATTGGTGATATGTTCCACGGTGTGCTCATTAATTTTACAATGTCATTTTACAATGGGAGTGGGAAATGACTATAGCAATTATTTCAATTCGTCCAGCTCATTATGCATGTAAGATAAAATCCTAGGATGATGACGATTTTGGATTTTCAAGATATTATTCTTTTGCAATAAGGTTGCAAACTGCACTATGTTCTATGGACTTGAAAAAATTAATTTAAGTTAATTAGTTTATACTACATTTCAGCCACCTACCACAACATAGTTGGAAATAAGGTGATGGTGTCACTATGATGATGTTGGGATAACAGATTCATACCACAAAATTAAGGCTCAAATGAACACCCTCCACAACAACTGATTCTTTCCTCTCTTCCCATGCAGTAATTAATCTGTCCAGACTATCAATAACCATTTCGCTCTGTGCTTTAAACCCTTCAATTGCCATCTGTTTCGGACTGATTAAATCAACAGCACTAGAACTCCCCTCTGCAGGATAATTTTTATTCGTTGAATAATTAGAACAATCATTCTTTTGTAGTTGTGTAGTAGAATACCCTGCCAACTTCTTTGCCTTCCGTTTGGCCTTCGCCTCAGCAACTGCTACTGGATCTAAATATTCCCCAGCATGATAAGTTGAAGCCCACAGTAAAGGATTTTGATTTTCACTCACAAAGCTCCTCATCATATGCCTAATTGAGTCTGTGGATATTACATTTGTGATTCCCAACCTGCTTCCCTGTAAACATGTATGGAAAAAACAAAACTAATAAATTTACCTGAAGAAAAGATATGATACAAACTGTTACTGATACTATATTTTGTGGTAGGCCCCATGATTACAGCCAGAAAGCCATGAAAGGAGGATTTGATTGTAAATCCAATAGTCAGAAATACAAGGTTACACCTAGACATAATAGGACAGTTTGAATAGATGCAAACATAGCATGCCAATGGCAAATAACCAAGGGAGAGACTTGAGCTGCTTCCAACAATCAAGATAGGTGCTTCATGCGCATGTAATCCATCCATGGCGTCCCATTTAAAATTTAGGAAGGGAAAATATCAACAAAGGCATTAGTTTGTTTACCTTTTTATTTATTTATTTATTTTTATTTATTCATTTATTTTGGAGTGGATGTATTGGAGGCTTGGAGCGAAGTGATTAAGCAGGACATGACGCTTCTGCAGCTCACTAAAACATGACCCTTTATAGGAGAGCTTGGAGGTCGGGATTAAAGTAGTAGGGTAGTTGTGCTTTCTGAGGGACTTTGGTGGAAGGAGGTAGTTTATGTTTTGTGGGGTCTTTTTTAGCTTCAAGGGGGTTTATGTTGTAATTTTACAAATTTATGGGCTGCCAATACTCTTTATTTCCTTCTCTTGTATTTGTTGTAGCCTTACTTTGCTATGTATCTATCTGTTCCGAACTATTTTCTTTGCGCCTGTTGCATTCTTTTGAACCGGGGCTCTTCTGAAAACCGCTACCCCTCTAGGTAGGCGTAAAACCTGCATACATCCACCCCAAATCCCACTTTGTGGAACTCCACTGCATAGCTGGCTCCTTGCATTTTTTTTAGTTGTGGCTCTTCACCAACTCTGCCACTCTAGATAGGGGTAAGGCTAGTGTACATATACCCCCAGTCCCCACTTTATGGGACTCCACAGGGTATTTATTCTTGTTGTTGAGTGGATATGAGATGGGAGAGCTACTGCATGGATATAAAAAGAGAAAAAGGACTTCTGGTCTAGTCTTAGGACAACCCGCCAAACCCGGCACATCCAGTTCCCTTACAATGAAGGCGATCCTAACTATGTTTAGACCTGAGCAGAGCTTAAAAAAAGCCCTCTACAGTATTTCCATTTTCAAAACTGAATTTCTTTTGAAACGATAGTAAACAACATATTTAGAAAGTGAAATACTGAAAAAAATTGTACATAATTAAACTAGACGACAAAATATGTTTAAAATAACTACTACCTCCGTCCCAAAATAAGGTTCCACCCTACTATTGATATAGTCAAATCTTTTTTTTTCTTTACATATATTCATTGATCATTTGATAAAATAAAATAATCACGTCACCTCTTATTCTGTAAAACTCTTAATGTAGTTTTTAAATATATATTTTTTTTCTAATTCTATACCAATTTTCAAATAAATCCAATTGAAAATAACATCTATCAAACCTCGTACACCGTAAGTGGAATCTTTTTCCAAGACAGAGGGAGTATCTAAATACAAGTCTCATAGGCTTAGCTCCAAAAGTGTGTCAAATAGAATCAGCATGTTCAATAAATTCAGAATCATTTATTATCATGTATATCATATTCAAACTTTCTAGAAACATACTTCGTATTTGATCATAGAAACATTATTTATTTATATGATTAATTTTTGTAAAATTTCTTAATGCACAAGCTAGTGAGTTGCGTACCACAACACAGCCTTATACATGATCCAAGTGTTATGAAACATCTACACATTTTCTTTGTATGTTAAATTGCATCAACTACATATATTCTTTTGTTTGGTAAATAGCTTTTCAAGAATGTAAGCATTGAAAACAAATCATGCATGTCGGTGTCAAAGAAATCATTACAACAACAACAACCCAGTTAAATCCCACAAGAGTAGGGTCTGGGGAGGGTGTGTGTACGCAGACCTTACCCCTACTCGAAAGTAGAGAGACTGTTTCCAAAGAGACCCCCGGCTCAACGTCGAAAGTTGCATTGCTTGACTAACTGCTACTTCATTAATTAAAGAAGCGCAGACAGTTTAGAGATCCATTTTGATTTATTCCATCCATTTAAGAAAATTATGAAGTTGTTTCCAAGATTAATGAGGAGGTGAATCGCAAAAAAAAACTCAAAGTTCTGAATTCATTGTTTTACTATAGAGTATAGACTTAAAGAACTATGTCTTCTATTATTTGTTGCATGAATTGTATAATTACGTAACTTACAAGTCACAAGTTCGCAAAAAACAAACACGCAAATCACTTCTAGTGAAAAGTGGTAGGTGCCGGTAAAATTTGAAAGTTCAAAATGGCAAAATCATAATCTTTTTTTTTTAATTTTGAACTTCTGAGTTTTGAAGAATCTCTCTACCTCTCTATCTCCCTCTCCCCACGCCCCAAAACTTGACATTTCTTTGGGACATGAAACACATGCCTCAATTGCCTCAAAAACTGAGCAAGGCTTACCAATAAAAATATTGAAGGTATGGGTGAATAGCTGAAGGCGTTAATTTTTTCTAAATCCGCATACAAGAAAAATGTGCCATGGGTTCATATCCATTTCCTTAATTCCTTCAGCACAGAAACGAAATAAGTGGGCAAACAAATTACACAAGATGAAGAACCTCCTGGTAGAGATTAGACTGTTCCTCGGGAGGATCAAGTGCAAAAAGTACATAAACTAACAGGGCTTATGCAGTAAGACTGTAAGAGTAACCATACCAGTAGAGCAGACAAAGTAGATTTGCCACAGCCACTTGTCCCACAAAGGAGTATTGTGATGGATTCCTTCCTTTCTCGGATTCTGGAACAAATATATACTAGAAGTCAAAAAATGAAAATTAAAAAAACTAAAGTATGCATCAAGAAAGGCATAATGCAATTAAAAAAACAGGCTTATAGAATCAATGTATTCACCACATTATACAGTGGAGCACCAGGTTATGATATGCACTGATCTATGACATCATGCAATTTGCATAACCTGGATATTATGAACATTACATTACTCTCCACTTCTGGATTTTCTTGGCCAACACTCCTCAACCATCAATAAGTATCAACTACTATGACTACCAATGCCTTAAGCAATGTCAAAAGCAATTTTATTTTATCTTAGATTCATGAAAGTCATAAGAGCCAAGTGGAGGGTAGGGAAATTTGGGAAACTGCACTCGCATGCCATCAAGGGCCAAATTAATGGCTTCAGCTTGCTTGTCAAAAAAAAACTGCTGCAGAGGTGTATCCAATCACCTAACTCAGATGCAATGTTACAAAGTACTCCCTCTCTGCCTCTCATTTGTTTGTTCCATCAACAACAAACTCAGAGTACAGTAGTAAAATAATTTTAATGAACGGATCCTCTTTAGCCCTTTCCATCATTATTTATTTTATGATTTTACACTCATTACGCGAAGAAAAAACAAATGTATATAACTACATGCTTCTCGGAGGTTATAAGACAAAGCATGATAACAGCTGTGATGACAAAATTAGTTTTTTAAAAAAAACAAATATTAATAAAATTCTCCCTCTGTCCCAAATAAGACTCCTCATTTCCTTTTCGGGACGTTCCAAAAAAATAATTCTCTTTCCAGTTTTGGAAAGTGTTCCTGGCTCACAATCTTTCACTCTCCTCTGCATGACTTTCAACCTCACAATTTTACTTTTCTTAAACTTTGTGCCGAAACAAACCAGGAGCCTTTTTTGGGATGGAGGGAATAGCACAAGGATCATATAGAGAATAGGATTTTCCACCCAGGCTGCTGCCACATGAAGCAAACATGTTATATTTGCCTTGGTGAATCACTAGAACAGCGATCATACAGAGAGTAAGTAACAGATATAGCAATAGTTGCATGCACCGGCTATAATTTACAGAGATGAGTTAAAGTGCACAATCGGCTAGCTTACCTGCAAGCTAAAGTTAAATCAGCCCTCTGATTTGTGCCCACATACTTGTATTCAGTGAGAGCATCACAAATAACATCTATAAAGGTTTTTCTTCTGACAACAACAGTTGTGCGCTTCTTATACAACTCAAATGGTTCGTTCTTGTTATGATAGTTTTCTTCCTGTACAAGTTCATTTACACTATACTGCTCGGATTTGTCTGTACTCGCCGAATCCAAACTATTGTTCATGTACTTGCTTTTCATCTCCTCTAAAACCCTTTGGCTAATCTGAATGGGAAAAAGAATGAGGAAAAAGAGATTGTCATTGACAGTAACAGATAATATATTAAATTATACAGTAAAATCAGTTACCATGAGATCCTTTTGGGTAAACTGAGTAATAAAATACATTTTCAGCAACAATAGTGAATAATATATGAAATTTTGGCCCAAGTCTCCAAGCATAACATACAATACCAGAGTTTCGTGAAAAATAAGTCCACCAAAGTACTTTTCTTTTTTAGTGAATGGATAGATAGTAAAAAAATTATACCAATATAATTGTAATTAAATTCTAAAAATCTACTGTAATAGATAATCCTCAGCATAAGCTCATGTACTAGAAATGATGCGTTTAACCATTTGAAGGATCAAGATGTAATGTTATTGACCCCACCAAGACTCTAGGGGTGGCTACACAAATGAACAAAACTTCATCTGTACAAGTGTACAACAAACAAAAACCCAACAAACAAAACTTCATCTGTAAACTTCAAAAAGATCAAGAGTTGAACCTAAAGAAAGCGAAACGGATATTGGTAAGCATGACAAGAAAATGTGAAATTCATAGTGATTGGCGAAGTACATCATAACTATTGTTGTTCCCAACTATTACCAAAGGTAGAGAGTTCAAATTAGCATCAACTAACTTTCACAGAAAAAAATTACTTCTCACTCAATCTAACTAATTAAAAAACAAATGATGTGCCACTTCAGGACACATATCAGAAAAAAGAGATGACAAGCCAGGGAAAAATGTTACTCTTATGCTTCAGATAAAATAATCGGAGTAAAAAAACGACAGGAGATCATAGAAAAACAAAAAAGATTTATGATTCTGAACATTACAGTTTACAAAAGAAAGAGGAAATGATTTGTCACCTTAAAAGCGTGTCTAGCCTTACACCCCATGAGCTGCAAAGTACTCTGCAGAACAGAACGCGTGTACCGAAACGAGTTCTTCTCCTCCTTCCCGTCGTCGCCATCTACTACAACTACGTACAACAACTTCGTCGCCTCCATCGCCATTCCCTGCCACAATCAGAACAATGGCATCGCAAAGCACAATAAAACAATCAATGCGGACAAAGCTAAAAACATGAAAAATACAGTACAAGTGCACAATTTCAACGCAAATCAAAGCGAAATTCATCGGGAGAGATGATATATTTTTAGAAAAGGAACAAAAAAATCGGAAACGCGAATCACAATGCAAATGAAATCCGTGGTCGCGAGGAGATGAAACCTGATGAGTCGAGATACCGGAAGGGGATCGGAGAAGGAGCGGTTAGGGTTTACGAAGACGGCGGAGCAAATAGGACGCCGCCATTATTCCCGATGTGTCAGAGACCTGCTGCTTCCACGCATCGAAGCTGGACTTTGTCCACGAGTCCTCTGTCCGGACCGCCTGCCTAAACCAGCCAAACGCCCGCCTTCCCATGTCGTTTCTTTCTTTTTTTCGCCGTTACCGGTTTTATATTGGCCGGTTTACCGTTTAGATAGACTTCCGTCAAATAATAACGTCCGCCACCGCGGTTTCTTTTCTCCTTTTTTTAGTACGCGGACTGACGGAGACTTTTTTTTAGATCACCATGAACGACCATACCAATTCCTTATCATCCATTTATTTTTATTACAGTATTTATTATTGTTTCAGTCCAAAACTGGATATCAATCTTATTATTACTGCATTTCGATAATTTTTTCTTTGTGTATTTTTATTAATAATTTTATAAAATAAAAGAAGAATTTTTAATGTATTTTTACATTTTGTAATTTATACCTTTTAATTCTATGCTAATTTAAAATGATAATAAAAATGATGGATTTTAGGCGTAGTTTAGAGTGTAATATCCATTTTGGAATGAAGGAAGTATTTATTTTGTCTTTTCAAATTAGATTACAATCTTAGAATTTTGAGGTAAAATTTTGTACGGAGTATTTTTTAAATCATTTATTATTTAAGAAGTGCAAGAATAAAAAATAAACGAGATAACATAAATATTTTATTATACCGAATAATCAATGAAATACACATAAATAAACAAACATTATCAAGAGATGAGAGAAATAAAAATTATAATCAATTACAGGACAAAGGGAGTATTATTTAGATAAAAGAACTAAAGTATAAGTAAAATATTGAAAATATATCAATATAAGAGTTTTGAGTTTTTATTTCTAAAATAAAAATTAAAATGCATTTACAGTGTCAATCATGATCAGTCACATACATTACTGAAAAAATATTGTTAAATAACCATATATAATGTCACATTACCATAATGTGAACTCCTATTTTGAAAATAAAAAAATGGAACTCCTATTTTACTGCTTGCTTTATGTTTTAATCTTAATTTGGGTGATTTAAAAAAAAAATCCTCTTCCATGTCTTCTTTCTTACAAACACTATCGTAACTAGGTTAATTGTATTGGTAAAAATACTCGGTCTATTTTTATGAAAAGCCAAAATTTTGACACACTTTAGGATATAGTGAAGATTTTATAAATTTAGACGAGACCGGTTCTCATGACATTAGGAATCAATGTCATGGAATGACTCGGGAGTACTCCGGTGTCCCGTTCGTAAAATTGACAATTCATACCCCTTAACCCTCCTTCCCCCGGTAAATCCCCCACCCCGCTTCGATCCGAACACACCCTCATCACCCCCTTCAATTGCACCAACTTCAACGTGACCAAGTGGTGACCCCTGAGAGGTGACCACGGTCACCTAGCCCCCCCATTTGTGAGCTATAATATTTTATTTCAATACTTCATCCATCCCAAATTAAATTGTTTCTTTACTCTTCACAGAGTCAAGTTTTATTCACTTTTTTTATACTTTCATTAGTTATTTGATAAAATGATATAATCATGTCACTACTAATTTTATAGATCTTTTGATGTAGTTTTTAAACACTCATATGAAATTTTTATTTTGTAATTCTACACTATTTTCATATAAAATGATTTAAAAATAAAATCAGTCAAACATCATATTGTAAACCGAAACAGACAATTCAAATTCTGACAGAGAGAGTAATATATAATTACATAAAAATAGAGACATTAATAATCAAATTGTTCCATTAGAACCCTTAATAATAATTTAAATGAAAAATATTAATTTTAGAAGGAAAGAAATACTCCCTCCGTCCCACTGTCTTTGTCCACTTAACTTTTTGGCAGACCATCCAATGCACTTCTTTAATCCATTTTATCTTGTAATTTGTATATTAAAAAATTATAAAAATTATATATTAATAATCTATATGTTAAGACGAATCAAACAGGATCACACATGATTATTTTTAGGCTTACACATTGAGAGAATTTGATGTGTCAAAGTGCTTAGATAAACAGTTCCAAAAATCAAAACTGGACAAAGACAATGGGACGGAGGTAGTATATACCAAATGGGGTACAACTAACTGTACCTAAGGTCCCTTAAATTATTCGGGAAGGGCATGCATGTGCGAGGTGCCCTACATATTAAAATCCGAAGTTGACATGAGGAAAAGTAAATGTTGTATCATGCATGATATATTGACTGTCTGGTTGGATTCCATCTACCAAACTCTCTTCCACGTTTTTCACCTTCCGTTGGGGTTCAATTGAAGGGGGTAGGGACCGTGTTTGGATCGGGATGGAGTGGGGTTTACCAGGGGTAAAGAGAGGTAGGAACCATCAATGGAGCACCATACTTTGAAATAAATATTCCCTCCATTCCTTTAAACCCTTCCACTTTTGACTTTGGGTAAAAATAAGAAAAGTGTAATTTTGGTTGACTTTCCAATTTTGCCACTGATGTGATGGGTAAAAGTAAGATGTGATAGTTTGGTTATTAGTGAAAAAGTATGATGTAATAGGTAGAGTATGAAAAAGTAAGGGTAAAAGTGATTTTTAATAGAAAGTGAAAGTGTTTTAGATAATTAAAAAAACGAAAGAAGAATGATTTCATGGAACGTATAAAAATATATGAACCCTACTTCTCAAGTCTCTTCCATACCAGCCGAAACGATAGGTACATTGAAGGAGATGAGTAAAGCTATAATCTCAAGGGGTAGATCTGGTAAAAATGATTCGACCCATTTTTTTACTTGAAACCAGACTTGAAAACATTGGATTTTGAACAAAAGGTTTGATGATCGAACACGAAATGATCCGCTAAAAATGGGTCAAACCCAACCGAACCCGAACCCGACCCGTTTAAGTAAGAGTTTTTTCAAAATCATATACTTTACTACTCACTTTTAGTGTATAAATTTCTATTTTCAGCCAAAATTTTAATTATATTGCATAATTATCTTAATTTTTTCTAAAACTTAAGCATTTTTTAAATTCCTTATATTTATTTATGTGTCTAAAAATTACTTTAGAATTTAAAATAAAATAATCTAATAGATTTAAAACATATGTTTTTATATTTTAAATTTATTTAATACAGAATACAAGTGTTAATGTGAATTTAAACATTTTAAAAACCAAAGTCATAATTCGTTGGGTCGATGCGAACCCGATAACACTATATCATGAACATACAGTTCTCAACCTGAACTCGAATTAACATGAACCTGAAATAACGCAAACCTGAATTGACTGAACCCAAACCCGACTTGACTGACCAATTTGATAGCTTTACTAAGGCGGTTAGGGTCGAGCTTTACTGCTTTACATTTATAATTACTACTCCCTACGTCCTATAATGATCTTCCCGGTTCGCAAAACGAAGAAAAATCTCAAGTTTTTTCAATCTATTTTATTTAAATATTGGTATAGAAATAAAAAATAAAACATACATATTTAAAAACTACATCAAAAGTTCAACAAAACAAGTGGTGACAAGAATATTTTATTTTATCATATAGGACATGAAAAAACACAAATAAATATAAATTTCCGTGAAGTTGGAATAGTGCTCTGAGAAGATCATTATAGGACGGAGGGAGTAAAAATTTCTGTAGTTAATTAGGGATCTTGAGCTTTACTTCTTTCTCCAATGAATTCCCAAACGACTGATTTTATATTATGACACCAAGAAAAATTATAAAATTATAAGATTAAATGGATACTAAAATTATAAAAAATAAAAAACTTATTTTATTACTTCAATATAATTTTATTTTAGTTATTTCTTAATGAATTTTTTTCTTTAGGGTTTTAATAAGAAAATATTTTTTTATTTCTTAATCTTTATTTTTATTTCCATTTTTGACTAACGGCATGAAGTAATACATTAATACTCTATATAATGCCTAAAAGTTATAACTCACCACGCTGTATATTTTTAATTTTATATTTTATCAATTCGAGGTTAATTTTTATTAATTTTATGATGTTTACATTGTCCCAAAGTGCACATTTTTCTATTATGCAAAAGGCCACTTGTTTTATGATTCAAATAGACTAGAGATTGAACTCTTAAATTCCAGTCTCTTCCAGTTCATTCTAGTTCTTTCCAGTTTCCTACCGCTCTTCTCGTTCCTTCCTGTTTCTTCCAACTTTTTTTTATTTTATTCAAATTCTTTCTATTTTCTGACAAATCACTCTAAAAAAATATATTATTATTATTACAACTATTATGTTTGTAATTATAATTTATACATTATTGCATTTTTTTCATCTCACTATTTTTATGATTCACACTCATTATTTTTTTTCCCAATTTTTTAATAAGAATAATACAATTTTTTTGTATATTAATCCACATGATAAAATAGGAAAACATCAATATTTTAAACTATTTAAAAAAATTATGGATAAAATAGTTACTTAGAATTTTTTTAATCTAACTTTATATAAGGTAAACATCAATATTTTAATCTAAAATATAAAAATGGGATGGGGTGAGGAGTACTACATTGTGAAAACCAAGAGAAAACTACATTTTAAAAAAGAAAAAAGGACCCAAAAAGTGTAAAAAAGAAATTCAGATAACAAATAATATCACCAATAATTAAAATAGAACTAACAAAAAGTTTATACTTTTGAAAGTCAATTTATACAACTAACAAAAAATTTATACTTTGTTACTCAATTTTTTTCTCTTTTTTATTTATTTCAAAAATTAATTTTGTTTTTCATTTTTCTAATTTTTATAAAAAAAAATTAAAGTCAAAGTACTTTAGAGAAAATGACTAAAGTAGGAGTAAAACATAAAAAAATATTAAAAAATTCCATGTCTTTATTCCATAAGTATGGTTACAGTGAAAATAAAATGTCAATCATTAAAGAAAAAATAAATGTCATTACATTATGTGACATGTCTGATATTTAAAAACAAAATCTTGTATTATATAAAATATAATTTCAAATATATTATTTTATGATAAATACTGCCTAGCCATAATAACATTTTAAGTATTTAACATTTTGATATTTTTCCTAATTTTATACTCAAATTAATTTTTTTTCAAAATTAGTTTTTTTTGTATGAAAAATAACAATATTTTTTATATTA